GAGGCCTGCTGCTTGTACGGGAGCTGCACTGCGCGCTGGTACCAGACGTGAATTACAAGAGGCTGGTCGCCATGAAATTGCTTGTCTTTTTTTGTTTGTTTTTTCACACGTGAGCTTGTTGCACTTTCCTGAGATGGCACGCGGAGCTAAGTGATTGAACTGAGCATGTGAGTAGCGGTGGAAGTGGAAAATTCCGTTGAAATAAGGTGCTTTTTCAATCAAAATGTAGTGAGAGTAATTCAACATAGAAACAGAAATTGCTAATTTGCAACCCCAATGAACCAGACTGGAACATGATAACGATGACTGCTACTAACAATTGCTATGATAGCTATACGTTATGATAAGTAGTTATATCTGTCTGCTACGTATATCATGTAAGCCTTTTAATTGAGCGGAAACAACACGCACATCCAGTCAGCTTAGTCCAGAATCCAAACCGCCCACCAGCGCGTTTTTCCTAATCCGGACCGGTTGACATTGGAGCATGGTCTTGGCTTCTTGCCTGCTGGAAATGCACCTTTGCATCTAAGGGAGTGTTTCACATTTGTGTGAGGTTTTGGACTGAACTAGCCGTCTTGAAGATCATTCAGCACCGTACACAGCTCTGCCTTTCTTAAGACCTAAGCCCCTCTAGTTTCTAAGCTGTACGCCAGCGGAGATGTGCAGAGTTCTTCGTGGCAGAATATTTCAAGGTCACCCACGCGTCCATGAGGCTATGATAACGTCACTCAAATACTGTCCTTCCATTGGCTGTGCGGCGATTAAGGCCAGTACAAATATAATTATCGAGTTCTTCATATCCAGGTTCGTAAGTACGATTTCCAGATGGAACGGCGGCCAGATCGCTCTCAATTTATGTGGTGCAAGACACCATGACGAATTATACAATGAAGTATTGACGAACATAGTTACTAAATAGAGAAATTTGTTGCCTGGAGCAGTCTTTTTCCCATAAGGTATACCAATGGTTACACGTGAGACTATTTCATCATATTTGATGCTCGCCCCAATATCCCCAAAAGTGGAACATTGCCCTTAACATGAAACACAAACAAGACCCATGATCATGTGTCCCACACACTTCGCCACGCAACTATTGACCGGGGAGACGGCAAAAGACCTAATGGGATGATATTCCCGTTCGACCATGGTCGGAGCCTGGCATGGGATGCCACATGTACCAATTACCATCCTTTACGTGACAGACACTGGCGCCGCAGATTAAGAAGCCAAATGCAGAAAGAACAGGAAATACTCGCACCTCACTTCATGGTTTCATTTCCAACCAGTCGCCTTTCAAACCGGCGGAGCCTTGGCCCAACGACAAGAAAGTTTGTCAAAAATCTTGGGGCTGGGCTGATTTTCTCGCCAGGCGATAGGTAACAGAGTGCTCGTCTGCGGCAGTGCCTGGCTATTGCCATAGTCCGAGGAAACGCAGCCTCATTGCCTTTCATTTCATTCAGCTTTGAAAAAGGACTTGTGCCCGCTCATCACAAAGACGGCATGGCGCGACAGCCTGCAGCATCGCCAAAAAAGCGCTACGAACACCGAGTCTCCCGAGAATGGGATTGGCGGTAGAGCGCGGCCTGCGACACGGTCATTCGGCCTTACGAGCCTTCAGAACATCGACAGTACGTGCTTCATGAACGCGTTACGGCAATCCCTGAGCAACACCTGCAGCCTGCATGACTTCATCCCGCGGGACGATGCTCGAGAGGTATTACCACAACCCCCTCCGCCATTGCGGGACTGCTTTGAACTTTCCACCATCCAGATGCTAGCAGGGCTGACAGTGTTCCAAGAACTTCCGTATCTGAGGTTCCCACGCATACCCGTAGTGCACTTGAAACGGTTCTTGCTGCAGCAAGATCAAACCAGAGACAAGCTGATTGACAAAATAGAGACTGCTGTTGTCTTCTCAGCCAGTAGTATGGACCTGATCGTCCCGCTCTGCCGTAATGTTAGGCTGCAAGTACAGCATGTACAGCGTGACCAACCTTTCTCGCGTAATGCACGCGGGCCACTACATAGCCCAGTATAAATACCCGTTTTTAGAGGGTGACACCAGTATAATGACACTAGAGTCCAGCCCATTGGTATGCGCCTCGTCAACGCTGTGAACCATGCATGACATTCGATCTGGCCAATCCCTGACCTGATGCTGACCTAAACGCCGTAACTCGAGAGGGCGACGTATGTTGCCATGGCGATGCTCGCCTGTGCTCCCGCCAGCTGCTCGCCTTTGCATGCCGCTTTTGGTGGTGTTTCCGCGACCGACTTAACAGCTGCGTTAAGAAATCAGAGTATAATGTGGAAAAAACATGGAACTTCAGTGGCGGCCGGTCACAAAGCACCGCCAACCGAATTGGCTTCAAAGAAAACGTTTCGGACGACAGCTGTTATCATTTTTCACCGCGGTCCATAAGTGACACATGCTATGAACACCCCTGGCGGCACAGGGCAGGAGTGGATCTCCTGCTACACTCATGATCCTGCTGACGGTGTTGCCTTTGGCTGTCGGCTCTCAGTTTACAGTCCTGACTGCCTGTCCGTGCATGTCTGCATCAATTCATGATGCTATTTGTTTATGACCAGCTTGTGCCTGAAAGACAAACCGAGATTAAATAGTCTGCCTGGGCGTTTAAACTGCTTATGGTGCGGCTCGATATGCAGTGTTGACGTAAAATGAGTGCCGGTGACATGCATGAGAGCCGCGCCAGTTGTGGGCCGCCAGGCTGCATTTTTCCACGATAGACAAACGTTTCTGTGCCATGAAAAATTTCGACACGACCAGCGCAGTTACTGTTCGCCTCATACGTGCCACTTTTGTCGCAAAGGAGCGGTATTCGGGCTCGCCGTCTATGACGGCATGTCCCCTAAGGCATTTACGTACTCGTTTGCAATATGCTGGTTATATCCTTTGTTTGAGGCCGGCGCATCTTACGTTTCTACGCACTGGCCTATAATAAACCTAATATAATATAATATAATATAATAAACTTAAGGAATATAGCCTCCGGCGTATTTAAGATGAAGTCTCCGTACAAACTGAGTTAGGAGCTATCACGCGGAAAAATAAACAGCCTCCAAGACACCGGGGGCACTGGTGGAGGGATGATATAGAGCAAGCATTGACTGCATTAGGAAAACTTGAGATTTCAAAGCAGTCCTCTTAGCCATTGGTGATCACGAGCTTCAGTCTGGACAATCTGCTAGTAGTTGAATAGCTGGACAGTCATCAGGAATGTGAGCATTCATCATTTATTACCCAAAGTGCGCCGATAACCATTTTTTTGACATCGTCATCACATATCAGCATTCCACTATCGCTAGTAAAGAAATGCCGCTACTCTCATTTCCATTTTCCGCTGAATCGTCAGGACCATGTTGTTTTTTTAAAAAGACGGATGCGGATCTGTGACTGCCTGCGTTTTGGCTGTCAGCTCGGACGTCGGCCCCACTAGGGCACCAGTCCCTCTGCTACCCGGAGCCGTGACGTCATCGAGACTTGATCAGTACTGGCCATCGGCCGGCAGGCAGGCGGCCGGCTGCCGCTCGCAGCCCAGGGCGGTGCAGAGCTCCAAGATGCGACACTGCTGGCCGGGGCCACACGGGGGACACGTGGTCAGGCACTCCCTGCTGCAGCCGTAGCTGCAGCAGCGCTGCGTGCCACCGCACTGCGCGTCGCTGGAGCACACTTCCGGGACGACGGCACCAGGCTGGACGGCGACGCAGGAGGTCCTGCCCTCGATGTCGTTGACGGGACACACTCGGCGATAATCAGGGGCCCGGTAGCCGTCTGGAACCAGACAAAGCGGTCAAAGCGAGACACTCAGCAGCCCGAACAAGAGCTCGTAGGTCGCAGATAACCGTGGTGGCATGAGACGTCGACTGACTTTCCCCTGAATCCAGCGTTCAGCCCTTTACACTGGAAGACGACACAAAAGCAAACACCTCATCCCTATAGTTAGCAAGGGCTTACAAATGTCAGGGTGTACATTGTCATCTTGTGTTAATCGATGGATTGAGATCAGTTCAGCAAAAGCAGGAATGACAGCATCACATCGGAATGCATGTGTCCGTTTCCCCCAATGCGCTGTTGGTATTGTTAGTTGAACCAGTGCACCAACACCTCCATGCTGCATCACGTCTTGAAACCGACTCACTCTACTCCACTGGTCAAGGAAATCAAAGTCAAATGTATAAAAAGAAGCGAAGAAGAAACGTTGGTCGACCGTTTTTAAGCCAACAAGGCACCAAGTACGCCAAGTGAAGGTACCGCGCAGCGGGCTGCACTATTCGTAATGCCTTCGTCATCATTTGCGTCAGAAGCAGGTCATTTTCACAGATTAATTATTTCCCTGTGACAGTTTGCATAGCGAAGTGTTAAGATTATGGAGTAATCCTCCGTGAATCAGCGGCTTAGAACACTCACAAGGCTTTACACCCATAGTTGTCAGCTGGTAGCGCTTGAATACCAACTCATCGCTGCTTTTTCAAAGGGCTGTTGCCTTGCCCAGGAAATGTTAGTTGACCTGCTGCTCAAGCAGTTATATTATATTACTGCATTCCATTCCCTTAATGTAACTTGGCACACGTCGTCACTCATCCTTCTATGGGGAAGCTGTCATTGCAGGGGCCATGTTAACTCCCAGGGGCCATGGCGCTGCCGGGGGTAGAACCCGTGCCCCAAAGTCGGAGCCGAGGGCGCTGACCACGCAGCCATGGCGCCTTTATTTAGGCTTCTGCGCCACACCTTTCGGCAATGGGCAGTCACTTATGCAACGCTAGACAGAAAACGTTGGCGCGCAGCGCGAGTGTGAGATGAAAGAACTGACACTGAAAGTGACAGCTACCGACAGAAGTCAATAGCTTCCAGTCGACAGCCGTCATAATCAGCCGGTACCTTACACGCCGGTCCGACCGGCCCGTGACACCCACTCACCCGTCACGGCGACCCCGACAGTCACGAGCATCACCACTGTGACTGCAACACTGGACGGAGTCATGGTTGGTGCTGGTGCTGTTCTGACCGTGCCACCGTACCCAGTTTATATGGTGTTACCAGAGCGAGCGGGCACCTATACCGGGAACGCCTGTCCAGTAGCGACGCCAAGCGGACGAGTTTTTTTATTACTACTGTGGTTGGGTTTTCCAGGCCCTGCGGCTCATGATAATTATTCTCTGGTAGCTGGATCATGCCTCATTCCAAGATAAATCGACGGCACGGCGAATCGGTCGAAACACCATATCGTACAGGTTTGGATAACTCATTGTTTGATGCCTTGAATCTCAATGTACAATTTTCGGAAATATCGGAGCAGCGAACAAGGTATAATATTGGTGAGTTTGAGAGGTCAACAAGCAGGCCTGTCGTTGGTTTGGCGGAAAATTAAAGTAGATTGACTAGAATTATGCAAAACTAAATGTGAATGTACTCTAACAACCTTCTCCATATTTTGGTATCCTTGATTTCCGTGTTCAAAAGCATTTATAAAGTAAGGGCATCACAAATTTTCACGTAACCTACTTTGACCTCCGAGACACTCAAAATGCTGTTTTTAATGCAGAAACGAAGCATGATAATAAACCATTTGAAAGCAAACCTAAGCATGCCTTTTCTGATACCCGTAATTTTTGTCTTAAATTAACTGGACATAAACGCACGCATGCTTTATTATTCTATTCAGATTTAGTCCAAACTTTTTGACTGGATGGATTTCTGACATTAGATCACGCTCTATACAGTTCTTGTTGCGCATTCCCTAGCTCCACCATCCGATCGTGACATTACATGTCAACAGAAGAGTTTTGTGACCAAATCTTCGCGTTTTGGTGCTCGCCATAGCACGTCGTCACCTCTGACGTCACCTGACCTTTCAAGCAGCCGCTGCCACCAGCCGCGTGCGATCACAGGAGCAAATAGCGGCTCGAATCCGCCCCGCCACGGGTGGGGGCGTCGGGAGAAAGGATATCCTGTATTGTATTGCGCATAGTCGGGCCAATCCATAACGATGGGGCTATTCTCAGACCTTCGTCAGCTCACACGGTCGCGGTGCAGGTTGTATTCTCAGACCCTCGTCAGCTCACACGGTCGCAGTGCAGATTGTATTCTCAGACCCTCGTCAGCTCACACGGTCGCGGTGCAGATTGTATTCTCAGACCTTCGTCAGCTCACACGGTCGCGGTGCAGATTGTATTCTCAGACCCTCGTCAGCTCACACGGTCGCGGTGCAGATTGTATTCTCAGACCCTCGCCGGCTCACACGGTCGCGGTGCAGATTGTATTCTCAGACCCTCGTCAGCTCACACGGTCGCGGTGCAGACTGTATTCTCAGACCCTCGTCAGCTCACACGGTCGCGGTGCAGATTGTATTCTCAGACCCTCGCCGGCTCACACGGTCGCGGTGCAGATTGTATGCCACTTACAATACTAGGCCACCCTCCCACCCATCCCACCCACACACTGCGCACGACACTTGCATACTGAGAAGAAAGTCAATTTGTCGAATAATGTTGCGCATACTAGTTTTGAACTGCCTCTGTGATGCCTTGGAGAGACCTTGAATGAGCTTGGAAAAGCTTCCTCATATCAGACCACCGAGTCATGGGGGGGGGGGCGGAAAAGATCTTGTCCACATTTAGCTGAGATGGGACATTATCAGAAAATACTGGTGTTTCAGTATATTAAACAAGTTTTAACCTTGAATGATCCGTGCCGTCCAAAGGCAAGTCCAGTTTTACCTATTCTCATTTTGAGAGCTGACCTGTTGTAGCCTGAGCCCAGGGGACTTACGATTGCCTTTGTATCAGTCACAACTATTCTTGCTTTTGGTGATCTACAATTACCATTGGGTTTTCAGATGTTTGTGTATTCGCAATTATATAGCTATTACTTATCAAGAATATATCAACCTTGGGTATGATTTCTAAGTCAACTATTCTTTTTTGACAATTCAAATAAATATCTGGAATTCGACGTACGTAGAAAGGGCGCAGTTGTTCAGAATGCAACGCAAATACCGTTTGCAATCCAAGTCCCTCACGACGGGTGAGTTGCTTCACACGTGCGCCAAGCGAGGGCAAGCAACCCTTCATGTGGAAAGACGGTGGAAGGATCGAGTGATGTCCAGAATGCCCCTTCAGGTTTAATCTGACCTTTCAGGTCAGGTTAATCTGAAGGATCAATTCAAAGTCAGTTCAGGTCAGGTTAACCTTAGCCTTTCAGGTCAGGCTGCTACACCATAACAGTACAGAAAGTTAAAACATACTGGCGCGGAGAACGGCACCACAACAAGATAAGCATAACTTTTGGACTCTAAATGGGGCTCAGTGCCAAAGGCTATCTAATACCAACGGAAGACCAAGCAAGTCATGGTGGTTAGTTTTTCAGTGTCTGCAAACCCTTTTACATCAGGAGCATTGTTTGGTGTGGTATGTCTCTGGTATGGCATTGACACTACGCGCTGACCGTATTGCTTTGCAGACGATTACCAGCACATATGCGGGCCAGGCAGTGTTTAACCCCCTCGGCAATCTATAGACAATCCTTCACCCACGCTACGCTGCGCAGTCAGCTTCACGCCGTCGTCTGCTGCACTGTTGAGGTCGTGCGCCTGTCGTTCACGGCGACGAACTAAAGGCACAGTTCCGAAAGTTGTTTTCGGGCACCCGTGTCCGGCCGCGTGCGCACGCACGCAACTTTTTTGCAGCGCGTGCACACTTCTGCCAATATGATTCGTGCAATAGACCCTGCGCCATTTAACAGCGAGGTCATAAGCCACATGATGCGAAGACAGTTAAATACCGATAAGTGGCTACTCGGCTTAATCAATCACGTATGACCGCGTGTAGGGTAAGGTGGGGCAAGACGCCCCAGAAAATGCATTTTGTTGAATATACCTTGTCCTATCTCACTACCATTGCAAGTGCATTTATTGACGCATTCTTTGAAGGTTTTTACTGACTTATGGAAGACTCACTTCCTCATTCTTCATTTCATGCGTTTCTCGCAAAAGATATTCGAGAAGCCTGCAAGTGGGGCGTCTTGCCCCACCCCTGGTGCAAGACGCCCTGGGCCGTGGAGCAAGAAGCCCCGGACCATGGGACAAGAAGCCCCGGGTATTAGGGCAAAGGACTTCACCAGGAATAGGACCCCATCAAACACCAAAAGTTCAGGTCGGGGTTCAAACAGGTTTTGAATCTGCTTGTAGTCATTAAGCTAAGCATTTTCACCTTAAAGGTATCACCTTCCTCAACATCGGAACAGATTACTACCAAAAGAATCAACGTTTATTCAGGCCTACCTGCGCTGAACGGTAGGCGAACGGTAACGGTAGCTGGTGCGGTAGCGTGCCTGGATTACTGCCACGTAAGAACTGCTCACGGCAGCGGTCGCAGACGTACACCACCTGAGCGTCCTTTGTATCAGTGCAAGGAACACAAGCCTACCCTTTGCAGCTCCCACACTGAATTCACTCCTCACAAGAGAAGGAGAAACGCATTGAGCATGTCAGGCATGTCACGCCTTTCTCGGAGTCGGGCACTGACTTCTTTTTCGCCGGCTTTGTTTTAGTGTCTTTTGTTCTCTTGAGGTAGCTTACAAGTAGCTTTTCTTTGGACCGAGATAAAGTCAAGACCGCAGAGTTCTCCGTTTTACGGGTGCGTTTTCTTTTGTCTCCCTTGGGTAATGGTGACGACTCTCCTAGCAACGTCTTTGCAGACGCAATCCTTCTGCTCGCTGAGGCTCCTACGCTGGGACCAGCGCCGTTTATCTCGCCAGCTCTCCCGCTGCGACCTGCGTCACCCTCTGCGTCAGCTCTCCCGCCGCGACCAGCGTTACCCTACGCGCCAGCTCTCCTGCTGCGACCTGCATCACCCTCCGCGCCAGCTCTCCTGCTGCGACCTGCGTCACCTTCCGCGCCAGCTCTTCCGCCGCGACCTGCGATACCCTCCGCGCCAACTCCTACGCTGGGGCCAGCGCCGTCCATCTCGCCAGCTCCTCCGCTGTGACCGGCATCACCCTCCGCGCCAGCTCCTCCGCTGGGGGCAGCGCCGTCCATCTCGCCAGCTCCTCCGCCGTAACCTACGTCACTCTCCGCGCCAACCCCCCCGCTGGGACCACCGCTGCCCGCCGCGCCAGCTCCTCCGCAGGGTCCAACGCCGTCAGTCCCACATCCACTGGGCTCTGCTTCATCCGTCAGCAGCGATGGCGCGTAGTCTTCCTCTGTGAAGACGTTTTGGTCGAACGGCCAAAGACCGGCCACTTCGAGGCCCTTGATGGATCTTTCGGGTGTTGCCATTCGGTTGAACGCTTTGCCGATCAGCTGCCCAATCTCGTAGACGGTGACGCCCCTGCCTCGGCTCGTCCGCAGGTAATTCTCTGCCGCGACGTTGTAGCCGGCTTTGAGTGACTTGAAGACGGTTCGGTCGATAGGTTGCATCTTGTGCGAAGAATGCGGTTGCAGTGTCAGCATTTGTATGTGGTGTTCTCTGGCGTAGAGGATGGCATGAATATACTTGTGGGACTGGTGTCCATCCAGTATGATCAGCTGGGGGTTATTGACGCTACTCTGCGTCCACTGCTGAGGGTGCACCAGCCACTCCAGGGACAGTTCGCCGTCCGTCCATCCTGAATCGCTGGTACCACTAATGGATTCTGGAGGTGTCCGATTCATGAGCTTGTCCAGCAGATGCTTTCTCGGCCAGGCCATCATCGAAGGTATGTAATGTCCCGCGGCGCTGCAAGCAGCAACAACTGTCACAAGTTCGCTTGTTTCCGCGCTAGTCAGCGCTCCGACGCAACGTTTCCCACACTTGGCCAAAACCTTTAAAGGTGTCTGGACAGTGGTAACACCAGTTTCGTCCATATTCCAAACCTGCCAGCTCTCGAACTTGAACTTTTCAAGAAGATCTTTATAGATCTCGAAAAACTGAGCCACCGTGTCTTTGTTGAAGCCAATCGCGCCCGATAGATGCTGCTTCATTGCGCCTTTCTGAGGCTGATATTTAGTCTGCTCAAAACCGCA